AACATTTATTCATTTTTGTCTAATGGCAAAAGAAACCAGAAAAACACCAGGACCTCATTTGTGTGATTTCAACAATTTGACCCTTTAAGCAACAGCAAAATCTGTAAGCTCGTCACAATTTTAATCTGTTGCTATGAGTGTGATTATAAACATGTTAACATTAGTTCAGTGTACGTTGACAGGCCTTGGATTGGGTTGCTCATGTCAATGGAAATCCCCCTTGCCTTAGAGCAAGGATGAAAAACTGGGACTGCTTCCAGAGACGAGTAGAAAGGTTGACAAATGACCAGCGAGTGGACGCTGCGTGAGCACGCTGTGATTCACTCCCTCAAAATGTCCCTTATCGCTGGATCTGTCACTACGAGGGATCTTTGGCCCTTATAAGCCACATGACTACATCCTGTCGGAGCCTGAGGGGAAGTGACTTCCTGTCAGATAATTACAAACCACGCAAATGTACATGCAACTATTCAGCAATAATGATATATTCAATATCAACATTCACTGCTAATTGAGGAATTTGATATTCATATATCACTTTAGGAGAGAAGATGTGAATGTCCAGGTAAAGTCTGGAAAATGTCAGGAAATTGTAGTCTGGACATTTTTCTGGCTGTGAAGTTTCTGACATTTCCCTGCTGTATTCTCTCATGGGCTCACTCTGACATTTATGAGTTGGTTGGTAAAAGGTCCAGAGCAACTGATTCAGACATTTGCATTCTCACATAGAGCTCCTCTAAATTATGTCAGCGAAATATCTGGACTAAGTTCATTTCTGAAAACAGCTATGCAGGCAATGACATCCTAATTGTCAATCACGATGTTTTGTTCTAAATGGTTTTAGTTCTATAACTGCAATGATATTTTAACACAGAGATCATGGAGAATTTTTCTATACCCTGAAGAAAGATGTGACGTAGGTAGTATGATTGTTTGCTATGTTTTCTTTCCTCTGGATAAACATACTTTGCCTATGGAAAACAGCTGCAAGCACGAATGTGATACGACAGTGAAGTACCAGAACCTGTGTATCCAGTAAATCTAAATAAATATATAATGTCTGTGGGGCATGTTTGCTCACCGTCTCTGGAACATAACCACTTCATCTGCCTTCAGGTCCAACAGCTCCAGCTTCCGTCCCTTTTCAATAACGTCGGGATGCTTGCGAACCAGCAGCCATCCGATGTGGGAGAAGAAGAACCCCCGCAGGGCGTTGTGGGGGTCCGCATCTGTCTCTGAGTACTTGTGGTGGACGCGGTGGTCCCTCGCCCACTCGTATATGTCATTCTGCTCACATGGACAGACACAGGCAGAGATATAGAGAGGATTATATGAGGCGCCCCTGGTATGCACCATCAGATTAGGGTCAGGAATCATCCGGTAACAAAACAATAAATGTTTATGGCTCAGATGACATCACTTTATTGACATTGATCAATCAATCAATGGCACTGGCATCTTTGATAGCAAGTATGGTGCAAGAAGACATATATTCTATTCGTTGTCTATATGTTTAGACTGCATTCTGCACAGAGGAGGTGGTGGATTATTTGTCTTTTCAACTTTACCTGAAAGGACATTGAGTTGGCGAGGGCGAGGAAGACTCGCAGGGGAAATGAAGCCTTGTAGGATTTGTGGCTCCATAATCTGTGTGCGCCGGCAGTCACGCCGAGGGCACTGATGAGGTAGCACACTACCGCTGAAAGGAAGAGAGAGTTGGAAAATGTTAAGCAGGAAGTGCTGAGATCACTTTTACACCCCCTGAGGGGCAGAGTCACTGGGACACCAAGTTCTTTCCATTACTACCCAGGAGGACTCTGAGAAAAGTCACATGTGTGCGGAGATGGGACGGTGGGAGCGTGGAGGTCTGCCCTCGATTTTGTTTTGCTGCCCTAAAAAAGAAACGCTGAATGTGTCGCCTATGTGAGGCCCAGACAAGACGACACAGGATTTGAGAAGCGGGGGCTTCTGGGCTGGCAGAGAGCATTCTGTTGTGGTGCCATGCATGCAGCCTCACAATGGGATGTCTATGGGAAGGCTGATTGTGCTTTGTCTTCCCCTGGTGAAATAATATGCAGCTCAGCATTGCAATGAGAGGGGAAAAATTATGCAGCGACACAGTGGACACAAAGTTGGGACTGTTCAGAAATCTGAGTCATGCCTTTACATAGTTTAAACATATTACAAAACACAAATTATTTAGCAAACAATGAAATCCACATACTTCTGACTGCCCAACAAGTAGTTTACAAGCAGCCAAATGCCTGGGCTCTTAACAAACTAAGGGGATGACATAGATTCGCAGGTTTACACAAGCGTGGACGTGTGTAATGAAAATCACAAGGCCAAGGGTGGCTCATTCTCCATTATTCCCAGTGGCATGACCCCTCGTGCGGTGTGTACTGTATTAGCAGTGATCACACAACATCAGCACATTCTGTTCTCTGCCTGTGGCCTGTAGGCACCAGAGGAAAAACCCATCTGCACAACCTGAAACACCGTGTGCGACACAATACTCACTCCAGGCGAGAGTTGGAGCCGAGGCGGAGGGAAGGACGTAGAGTCCGTACAGGGCGCCGGTGTGCAGGAGCGACATGAGGATGATGTTTCTCCACACCAGCATCCTCGGAGGTTTGGGTCCCGCTTTTTCCGTGTAGGTGTCGTCGAAAACATCATCTGCCGTCGTCGTCGGTGCTTCTGCCGCGGCGTCGCCGTTCTGTTGCTTGTCGCCGCCGCGATGCTGCTGGCGGTCCCTGGTTTCCGTCTCGGTCATTTTTAGGGGGCTGAGGTGAGGATTGCGTGAGCGGAGAGCGCAGAGGTGGGGAGAGAAGACGTGGAGAAGTTGGTGAGATTAATGCGCACAGCAGGATGCAGGAACAGAGTGCAAGGGGGAGAGACAGAGGGAGAGAGCGAGCGAGAGAGAGAGAGAGAGAGAGAGGAGGGGGAGGTACGGCGGCTGGCTGAGTACATGCGGCGCTTCGCAGTTCCGCTTTGCAGCTGCAGCGCCCTGAGCCAAGTACAAGCTGAATACACGAGTTATTATTCCATGATGACATAAACTATTTATTATCTCAGCCAAGGACAGCCGCCCCCCCGCAACCAGAAAGTATGCAAGAGTCCCACTCATGTTGAGTTTGTCAATAACACAAGAGAAACATCTTAAATATGTTATACTTGCGTACAAATACTTTCACTATGTCAACATTATAATAATCATATTTCAGGATCGTTAAAATAGAACCACGCCCTTGTATTCCATAATTCCCCTTGGAAAACTGTGACTCATTGTTTTACATTTCTCCTCAGTTATGTAAGAGAATGCCACATGAGAATTATGTTAGAGACATTTCAGACATTTGCTCCATGAACACGATCATTTTGAAGGCTGAATCTAGAAACGTACCCCTACCAGGTAGAAAATATTCCAGGGACCCCCTCATGTTCAGTATGTCCCTTGGTATAATCTGAAATAGCCTTTTTTTTTACATTTCTACTTTAAGAGAACAACACAAGAGACGTAACATAAAGATTTTAGACATGTATTAAAAATGTGTTCACCATGTCAACATATGACAACCATATATATATATATATATATATATATATATATATATACAACCATATATCATGGTCATTTATAATGGCTGAATCTGGACACTTTTCATCCCTTAAGAGAAAGAAAATATTCAGGGGACCATGTCCTGTTCAGTATGTCCTTTGGAATAATTTGGCAGCAGATAGATAGCTTTTTTTTTAAAAACATTTCTACTTAGTTATGTAAGAAAAAAAATGAATCACTGGCTTCTTATTGGCTCATACCAGTGATGATTATGTAAGGTTGGGCAATATGGTCAAATATGATATCAGGATTTTAAAAATTGCATATCAGTTGATATTAATAATTATCATGATAAATGTCACATTATTGTAAGTTCGAAGAAACACATCTGAGGTAGAGCACCACATGTGCCAGATCTCAGTGGTCAAGGTTGGATTACAACATGCCCAGGGGCCAAAGACCCTCAGTGGCCCCCAAAGCTCCAACATTTGTTAGAAACATTAATACCTCACATTTGTTAGACAATATATTCAAATAGATTTTACTGTCCTACAAGTATTCACATGAAAAGCTGCATTTGGTGGGTTGTTGGCATTTTATGTTATTAAATAATTTGTTAAACTATTAATCAATAACTTTAAAAGATTATTGCTAAGTATTTTCTATCCTGACTAACAGAGCAATATGGATAACTGGTTGGTTTCTGCCTGAGGGGAATAATGAAACAGCCATGTAGGCTATACTATGGGGGTCAATACGGAATCCCCTAAAAAATGTTTGCCCCAGGGCCCCCTGTGAGGTTGATCCGGCCATGAGTGCATCCCCATGTATCGTGCCAAACAGTGATGCTTGCACATGTACCACACAGCAGCTGCACACTTACTCACAGCAGAAAGTAATGACTCATCATAGAGTGGTGTGAAGTGCTCCAACATCAGTGACACAAACACATTTTTACAAATCCAAGTTTAAATCGACATATAAAGTCTCTCTAAAAATATCAAATATGGCTGAGTCTATACTCACTGTGCTGTTTCCTTACAAGAGAAGACACCAGAACCGCAGGTGATCCAGGCAACACGGGCGATGTAGATAAAGATGAAAAATAAAGATGTGTCGAGTTGCTCCCAGGATCTGAGATCATATTATTACCTATCCCGGGGGCCTGTTTTAAAGCAGTTGCTCGATGGGGAAATTGATGTCACAGGCTCTGAAATGCCATTGGCTGTTGCTTAACTGAGGTTTACCGCCCTCAGTTTTTATCATCAGTCTTATCATAGGAGGGATTCTGTTACCCAATCTTTTATATGAACATCTCTACTCTTTTATCTGATGAAAGAGTGCAAGAGGTTGCAGACACCATGATGTCAGGCAACAATGACATTTGTACCCATTAAACCTGAAATGAGTGGGACAACACCTTGCAGTCATGATTTAACAAAGTTTTGATTTTATTTTCTTAAGGACATAACTCCACATAAATGTTTTGTTAAAAATTTTTATATTTTCAATTGTCCACTTGTGATAAAGTTTTCCAGAACAGAAGTTAATCGGAATAAAGCATGAGACTGATGACATTTATGCACCCTGGTAACTGTTGTGGGGCTACTAAAGTTCATTTCCCTGACTTAGTGTTTACCCTGGCACTGCCTGGATGATTTGAGCATAATCATCCCATTACTTCACGCAGGAGGTAAAAGAACATCCGATCTTCGAGCCCTGTCGCAATGTATGACCACACTTAAACGATGGTGACCACTTACGTTTATACTGTACACAATGTATTATGAACTTTAGTGAACTGGAATGACTGAACAACCAACAAGGGGCTTGTGCAACAGCTGTTTTCAGCCAGTTTCCTTGAGGGAAGGAGGCAAAGAGGCAGTAATGACACCACCTATTGCACAAACACAGCTACTGCAGGGCAGAGTACGATAAAGTACAAAATAGATTTTGCACAATATATGACCATCAAATATAATGTAATAAAATCTATTGTGATAGCCTCAGATAAAGACCATGCAAGAGATTGTGTTGGGTAAATTATTAATTTTAAAAAGTACCCAACAGATAAACAAAAAATGGTCATGGGAGAACTTCAAGCTAGCCTGTCGCATTTTTTCAAGATCCATTAATTATTCTCTGGGAAATTTATGAAAATGTATCTCACATATATCCCAAAATGCTAAAGAAAGTGAAAAATTATTCTTGGATCAGCCCACGATTAAATTGTTTCTTTCTACGCCCATGTCCTGTCCTTGCACCAAGTCTTGCTGACAATCAAATAAATGGTAAGGATGAAAACATAACCTTCTTAGCAGAGGTACTAATCAGTGGTACCACAGAGCCCTGAAAGGAGGTCTAATCAAGTAAAAAACACCTCTGTGTGTTGTCATGGTTACCAACACTTCTATTATCATCTGGTACATGTACATTTACAGTCTTGCACGTTATACAACCCCCTGTTTTCCATTTAAAGCCACCAGCATTGTGGGTGGAAGATAAGCCCGTCGAACCTTTGGGTGTGAAAGATTTGCTACCGCTCAAAAAGTAGCACCAGTTCACAGTGAAGAGTGTGTGGGAACATGTCCACAGGGACAGCCAGAATAGGAGAGAATGCGTCTCCTGTGAGTTTCTTCTGCGGGTCGGGTTTACAGCAAAGCTCCCGGAAGTTCCTCATAGCCTCTCCATCTGGTTTACAGGAAACATAGACCAGGCGGCGTATAGAGGGCTGGTTTCGTAATGCTCGGACCACTCTGGGGTGCAGGCCAGCCCGAGCAGGGTTTACCACAGCTGTGAGGCCTCCACCTGTGGAGCTCAGCTGAGACATGAGTCCAGGCAGCACAACCTCTGCCTTACCAGAAAAAAACTGACAGTTCAGTACGTTATTGAAAGCTGCGTTGTGCCTTGCATCTTCCACTGCCTGTTCTATGAGCTCTATTCCAATAATTTTGTCCATTCTCGGGGATATGGTAATACCAATAGCACCTGTCCCACAACACACATCTAATAGATTACCACCAACTTTCGTTCTTTCTCTGCCTTTCTCTGTGTTCGGGACACACAGGTCTCTCACTGTGTCATAGAGCACCTCAGCAGCCGCCTGGTTCACTTGGAAAAAGGCATCAGCAGAGATGCGGAACTTGAAGCCCAGCACCTGTGAATGACAAACAACAAATTAAAAAAACAAACATTATGTAGACAACCATGGTTTTTATGCTTCCTGTTTATTATCATCTTACAGTACTTACTATCTATATTTTGTTTTCATTCTCAATGTCTGTCTGTCTTTCTGACAGCAGGACTACTCTGAAACTACTGAACTGATTACCATACACTCTTGTGGAGAGGTGGGGAATAACCCATTTAAGAACCTATTGAATTTGGGTGCAGATGCAAGAATTTTTACTTTTTATTCTTAACACGGCCAGACAGGGCGTTAGCCTTGGCAGAGGTAGGTGCTCTCTGAGCGGCCTTCTCTTCTGAAACTGTGATACAAACATCCACAACCTCATATTGCAAGACAGAACAAAAGAACCATAATACCCCAACATGCTGCCACAGACAAAAAAAATCAGCTCAAACTGTGGCTCAAATGTCAAGGTCTGATATTGTTACATTCCTAACAACTTTACATTTATTCATGTCAAGCAGGTATATGAAGGTATTTTTTTAACACAACAAATTATTCCAATATTATTTCAATTGTTGATAATGAGAAAACTGTTTCTTCAAATCTCTGTCTGTAGGATTAACTATTACATTTGCAACCAAATATATGTTTCAATTTTGTATTCAGATTAAAAAATCACCAGTAACTAATGATCAAAACAACTAACTGTACAAGAGAGTATGAAGATTACAAAGTTGAAAATGTAATTACAAATGCCATCCCTGTGTGATTTATGAAGTCCCTGTTAACAGATTCCATGTTATTGTGCCCAGTGGTTCCATATTACCTCGTCATATATGTGTGGCTGACCATGCAGGAGCTGGTAGGGGGATTCCTCATGAGTGCAGCGAGTCATGCTACTCTCCTGGAAGAACAGTGAATCCAGCTGACACACTGATCCAGGACCCTGTGTGAAATAATCCACCAGGTCAGCCTTGTGAACCGCCACCTCCTCTGGCGTGAGACTCTGCGGATGGAAGTAGACTATAGCCATGGTGCGGCCCTCCGTGTTGGTCCTCACTGTGACCTCTCTCCAGTGACCCCCGGTGTGGAACAGCAGGCAGGGCTCTAAGGAGGATAGGCGGAGGAAGTCCTGATAGCATCTGGCCACTAGATTGTGCTTCTCCGGCATGTTGAGCAGGTGGTCTCCATTGACGCAGACGATGTTCCCCTGCCTGCCTGTGCCCACGTAGAATCCCACCGTCTTTGGGTTTCCATCCACTCCTCTGTTGACAGAAAATGTGGACTTGTTGCGGTAGCTGTCCCTCACTGGGGAGGGCAGGATAGGCAGGACGGGGAAGCTGAGTTCACCTCTCGCAGGTGACAAGGACTGTGATTGATGCCCGGAGAGCTGAGACAGTATCTTCAGCTGGTGGTTTTGCTTGAGCTCAAGTTGCTCATCGTAGCTGAGCCTCCACAGAGGGGTGACCACATCCGCCAGCCTCTCCTCCCATGACAGGTCATCGGTCCAGGGAGGTTTCTTCTGACTTCTTCTCTGCCGAGTCTTTGACCGTGGTTTCCTCTGCTCAGCTAAAATACTGTCATCAGTTGAAAACAACAAACATGGAGTCCTGAGTGAACACAAAATGTTGCATTTGAGAAAAAGGACTGACCTTCTGCGTGAAGCTGCCAACACCATTTTAAAAGTCGAAGAATTGGCCTTTAAGGCTAAAAACACATAATTAACAAAGACTAGTTTATCTATCGGGGATGACCCGCGTGTTTTAGGAAGGTTTCAAAGAGCTGGAGGGTAAAGGCGTTTCACTTCTCATGACGTAGAAGTACGGAGACGTCTTCCTGACGTCAACTCGCTGCGACTCGAGGCAAGTAAACATTTCCGCTGTGTCGCGATGGACTCAAACAAGGACGAAGCCGATCGGTGCATCAAAATAGCCCTGAATGCGATCGGCAACAATCAAGCAGACAAAGCCCGGAAGTTCCTGGAGAAGGCGCAACGCCTGTTTCCCACGGATCGAGCCAAAAGTACGTCGAATAAACGCCTGTTTTCGCAGTGGTTGTGTGTCTGACGGTGGGCCATGGCTGTGAAGCCAAATTAGCTAACGTTAGCATAACTGTCTTAGCGTCGCACCACCTGCTCCTAGCTGACGCTGGTATTTGTAGTTTTTCAGACTCCAGCCACAGTGGCTCGGATATATTTGGTTACCCACTGGCTTTAAACAGCGTTTGCTTATTCGCAGTTTACTTTTACTGCATCGACGCCCTCGGTAGACGCTACGCTGCTAATCGTTAGCTCGCTGTGCTAACTGCCTGATTAACACATACGCGATTGTTATGCTGGAGTAAAATGGCTGCACTTTCTTTTCAGACTTATTGGAGTCGTTTGAGCAGAATGGGAAGCCCCCAGATGAGAACGGCGGCCCTGTGAACGGAGATGGGCCCGCTATGAGGCACCGCGGCCACGGAGAGCAGCCGGATGGGTCCGCACAGGGGGGCACAGAATCGGCCAAACCCTTCACTGCAGAGCAGCTCGAGGCTGTCAGAAAGTCAGTGCCCATGTGGATCTGTCCTGTGGAGTGAACGGAGATGAATGATGATGAAAAGTGATTTTAATCAGTATCATAACTACGACAATAAGTCCATTACTTACATCATGGGCAGTCTATAGAGTATTACTCGAAGTGAAGTCATTTCTTTAAAGAAAAACTTAAAACCTACTCAGGTTTCCACTTCTCTAATGTGATTATTTGTTGTTTTCTCGTTTCCATGGTGAATATACTTAAGGTTTAGTGTGTAGACATCAGTGGTGAAGTTTCATGTTGCAGCTGAACGCCCCTCACCTCACCCTCCCCTTCCAAACATGAAAGACATGAAAGAGAACCTGTGGGAGCGCTCAGTTGTCATAAAAACTCAAAAGGTGTTTAGTTTGTTCAGTTTGGGCTTCTGTCAAAACATGGCGGCCTCCGTAGAGAGGACCAGCTTCCAATGTATGCATAAAGTCTTTAAATATAAAGGACCTTTTCGAGGGTAAAGAAAATTTCATTTTTATAATTAAGATGAAATACACTAGTGATAACATCTATTGGATTATTTTATATTCAATTTCTGCTATTAGATTCCCTTCACCTGAATGCTACACAGAACCTTTAAATGAATATGAATTGCAGCCCTTACTTGTTTTCCTGATATCAAGCAATAATTGGGGGTATGTTGTTGATTATCTTTTAGCATATAATATAAAATCTAGGATTGATGATGTGGTCTCTGATGAAATGTTATTTTTACTGGGGTTAGTTGACCAAGAAGGTAGAAGCACTGTTCATGAGTCCAATGTTAATACTGCTTTTACTGTGAAAATGCATAATTTGTGATTGTTATATAAAAAATCACAATCTACCATCATGCTTCACACAGTAAACACAGGGTTTTTAAAACAGTCTAAATTGTGAAAACATGCCTTTGGTCATAGGATATTATTTGAAGATGGCAAAATCAATTGAACAAAATGCATCCAGATAAGTGCAGAAGAATTTTCATATGGTTAGCTCAGCGATCGCTAATAGTCTGTTAGTGTAATGACTTATAGCTTAATGAGGATGTATCTGTGTGTCATCTTTTCAGTAGTTTTATTCGTTTGTTTTCCCCACAATCCTCTAAACATATCAGACTTTTTATTTTTTGTTGCAGAATTAAGAGCTGTAAAGATTATTACCAAATTCTGGGAGTTGAAAAGACGGCCTCTGAAGAGGATCTTAAAAAGGCTTACAGAAAGCTGGCCCTGAAATTTCACCCAGACAAAAATCATGCACCTGGAGCCACAGAGGCATTTAAAGGTAAATTAAAAGTTCATTTGGCTGCTGTTCTATGGGAGACATGCAAATGTAATTTTAACAAGTGCAAATTTGTGTGGGTGTCTTTCAGCTATTGGTAATGCCTACGCGGTACTGAGCAATGCTGAAAAACGAAGGCAATATGACCAGTATGGAGAGGAACGAACACATCCAACCAGACACAGACACCATCGTGATTTTGAAGCAGATATTTCCCCCGAGGACCTCTTCAACATGTTCTTTGGTGGAGGCTTCCCGTCAAGTAAGTAGAGGCCAGATGAACTCTGTGTCTGTTGGGATCTTGTGTTTTGTGTAATGTTTCCATGCCTGAGTAAGCTATTTGATTTGAGAGTGAGCCACTCAAAGCCATCAGTTTGCCATTACTGGTGGTTATTGTGCTTTGTCTTGAAACGCTAGCATTACTCAGCTCTTATCAGATCAGAGTGATGTGAGCTTAGATTGCTGTCTGACTGGCTGTTTAACCTCATTTTCAAACACACCTTTTGTTCCACAAGCAAATAAAGTCCAGCTGATGCTAGTGCAAACTAAAGCTCAGGGCGACTTCCAACAGTAATTATCTATTTAATAATCTTACAAGCATAATGCACATCATTTTGCTTGGTTGCTTGTGTTGTTTGGCTCTGTGTGAAAAAGCAGACTGTAACTACAACATTCATTGCACTGCTATATAATGTGATGTATATACTCTTTGGCGTACACAGGCTGAAACCAATGTCTTGAGAATAGATCCCTCGATGTAGATTACAGGCTTCATCAGCCTTGTTAAACATAGAATTCTGCCTGTAAATATACTCATTAAATACTTTCTATTTCACTGCTCTGATGACGCTAAGTTATTTGGTGCATGTGACAATAAACTTTGATTTGATTTGATTTGATTTGATTTGATCTACTCTCTGGCACTGATCAGACCTGGTATTAATATCAGTCTTGAGCGATACGATGACAAGTGGACAGCTCTAAGTACACCAGTTCACACCTCGTATGTGTCACCATGTATGTCACAAGTGACCACTTGTGATATGATCTCCCTTCCCCACTTTATATGCAAATAAACAGGCATGATTTAAAACAATACTACATAAAATACTTCAGAGGACGTCAAATTGAATGGACTAAAAGCCTTTTGCTCTCCTCCCATAGCCAAGTCTTAACTCTGCTCTGTGCCTGTTTATATTTTAATTGTTTTATTTGCTTAAATTGATTTTAGGCAACGTACACGTTTACAGAAACGGAAGAATGCATTTTGCACATCATAACCGACAAGAAAGACGAGAACAACAGAGAGATGTAAGTCCTGTCTTTAATATTCCAGTCACATGAATTTGACAGCAGCTGATACTAAACGCTTATCTTTTTCTTCTCTCTGGACAGGGAGGACTGGCTCTCTTTGTCCAGCTGATGCCCATCTTAATCCTTATCATTGTTTCTGCTCTCAGCCAGATGATGGTTACCCAGCCTCCTTACAGCCTTAGCTACCGCCCGTAAGTGGCACAACACTCTTAATGTTTTCTGGGTCTGTGTGGAAATGCATCGACGTCTGTCTCACTCTGTTATTGTATCTCCTTGCATTAGATCAGCTGGACACATTCACAAAAGGCATACATCCCACCTGAAGGTGCCTTTTTACGTGGGAGAGCGTTTCAATGAAGAATATTCGGGGAATAACCTAAAGAATGTGGAAAGAAGTGTAGAAGATGACTATATCTCCAACCTTAGAAACAACTGTTGGAAGGAGAAGCAGCAGAGTGAGTTCACAGAAATGCTGCACATCACACACTTATTTTGATTTTCAATTCATCTACTGCTGATTTGACTTATTTAAGCCTGTAAAGCTGGCTAAAACAAATCAGCTTTAAATAACTGATGCAGAATAATTTACTAGTGATTGATTAATAATTCAATAAATTATCTCAGCTCCAGGCTAGAGTAATTCAGATGCATTGTATAGTGCACCACGTGTATTTCAGCTGGTTTTCTTTGCTGAATTTGTTTGTTGGAATAGAATGACACATTTTTTTGAGTTAATGACGACAGCTTCCAAAAGAATAAATGTACATTTTTCTGCAGAATTAGTGACATTAAATCTGCTCCTAAAACGTATCTTTAAAAAAAACCTTTACTAGTCCTGGTACACCATTTTTATTACCTACACGAGTCGTCTGTTATGTTATGTTTATTTTATTGTTTTTATTTCTTTCTTTATCATTTTATTCCCTGATCTTGCCTTTGGCTTTGTTTTGATCCTATTTCAACCTTAATATGAGTTAGTAAATGGGTTTTTAAAATGTCATTACTGTTTTTATGTTATCATGTTTATAGTAGACTGAAGCCCAGTGTCACTGACTTGCTGTCCTCTTGTTCTCTCAGAGGAAGGCTTACTGTACCGTGCTCGTTACTTTGGGGATTCAGGGTTGTACGAAAGGGCGCAGAGAATGGGGACGCCTAGTTGTTCCAGACTATCAGAGATTCAGGTCATATTGGATGGCTAGAAACCACTTGCACATACATGGGTAAGTTGCATGAACATCACACTGACATTAAAGTTGCTAATATGCACAGTAAATGACCTGCAACGACTTTGGTGTTTTGCGTGTTTTATCCCACAACCTACATATACAGACATGCATTTCATAGCTGTTGATAGTTTCTGCAGAGCACACATTTTTGCATTGATTGCCAACCCTGCAGGCCACTGTCACCATTCATTCTAATCCATTCAGCATACACTGCTCGTATATATTTATTTTAGTCCTATTGACTGACACCTGATGTTCGAGAGTCAGCTGTGCTGCTGTCTCAGATGTCTGGAGTTTCCCACTGCTTACTGTTACTGCATCAACAAGGAGAGCTTTTTACACAGGCGCCGCTCACAACTGCATTACCATGTGATGACAGAACTTTGACCAATAAAGATGCATCAACAGAGGCAACTAATGGGTCACTGTGATGGATTACCTATAATCCAAGGGTCAAGCAAGGGTCAAGTCTCTGAAGGTTTTATAATGAACAAAAACTTTTAGCCACCTGTATGTAGGGAGTGAATTTTATCAAAATGTGTATGATATGAAATCAGTTATTTGAGATGTAAGAATAATAATCATTGTGGTTGAGTGGATAAAACATGTAACATCATCTGTGATCAATTTCATCTTGTCGGTGCTTCACTGATACTCAACATTGCACAAGTGATAATGATTGAATAATTGATTTTGGGTCTTGGCTATGTTCACATGTAGTAAATGTTTATCCTGTGGAAAGTGATTGCTGCATAATAATCCCTGATTCCTTTGTTTCCTCAGGTTCCTCTGTACTTGAATCTAATTAGAAGAAATTGGTCGGAGCCCACTCAGATTGGAGCATATTTCTGCGGCAAAACCAAGAGAATCAAACATGCCTTATGTGCAGTGGGCGACAGACCTCATCAGGGAACCTCTCTGCAACTCGCTGTAGATTGGCTTCCTGTAGAACTGTGAGAAGCTTTGAGTTGACTGCTGACATTTTCTTACTCTAGTGTCTTCGGGGTGGCGAGAGTCCACTGGGCATCAGTGGAAAAGTAAGAGCATATTTGAACAGTTACGAAGCTGCTATGTTTAGTTTTCTCTGTCTGGATCTTTTTCTGTTTTCCTTTTGAGGAACCTCATGGCCTTCTCATAGACAGACGTCTGAGCCACTCACAAGGAACGTGTGTAATTTTTATAGTTCTTACCTATGTAAATATTCATTTTACTTTTAACAGTTCAGGGTTTATTGAAGTTAATATCATATACTATAATGTTATGTGGATTCGCTTGTAGTCTGTTGGATCATAAGTATTGAAAATCATTGCACAAATACAAAGGTTTCTTTAAATTAAATTTCTTCAATGATTAATTGGTGCGTATTTTTTCTGTAAAATGTTCAGGCATTCACACACACACACACACACACTCTTGTACTTTTATAATGAGCTGATGTGCTCGTCCCAAATCCATACTGCATCTTTTAACTCTAGTGGGTTAAAAGTAGAAAAAATAAGAATAGTTAAAGCAGACACCAAGCATACTACACATAGCCCATTTTGAGTGTGCTGTTGATAGATAATGCTCTTTCAATGCAAATAACAAGTAGTATTCTAATTTTTATAACCTGACAATGATGTTATGTTTTCACCTGTGTCTGTCTTTAACTTATTATTATGCAAATACTTCAAAATCGATTTGGGATGACACCTGGTCCTGGGAAGAAACCATTACATTTTGATGCGGATTAAGGGGGAATATTGATTTTTCTCTCTTTCTTTTACACTGCAGCACAGAGAAGAACTTTCGCTGTTTTTAATGAAGGATTGTTCGAGTTATTTGACTGTATTTGTGTAGCTGTTCTCCAGTCTTATCTCCCACTCCAGGCTCTTAACAGTTAAAATTGGATTCAGTCATTCACACAGCACTACTTTATCCAATGCTTATACACTATCGGCAAAGCAGTCAGTCAAGTCTTGCCCTATGACCATTTAGAATACAACCACCAACCTGACATTTGACTGACATAGATACAGGAGATTTTTTAGTTTTTTTTGTGGATGCCCCTCACCACATGTGCCACAGTTCTAGTTTACTAAATAAAGCATAGCATTTGTATAACATTTTTCACTTTACTAGCAGCTATCAGTGTGCTATGATAATTATTGTGTGCAGTGTTTCACTGTAGCACATGCTTTATAGGTTTAATCTGGTTAAAGGTACAGTGTGTAGAATGGAGTGATATCTAGTGTTGAAATTGCATGTTGCAGCTGAACGACCCCCACCTCACCCTCTCCTTCCAAACATGAAAAAGAAACTGTGGTAGACTTTAATTGTCATGAAAAGGTGTTTAGTTTGTCTGGTCTGGACTAGAGAGGGTCCCCTCGATGTAAATATAAAGTGTTTGAATGTAAAGGGCCTTTTCTGGGGTAAAGAAAAACTACAATTCACACAATTTAGATGAAACGAACTAGTGAAAACATCATGAGGATTATTCTACATTAAATTTCTGCCAATAGTTCCCTTTCACCTAAATCTTACACACCGGACCTTTAAGTGACACCTTAACAAAGAAGAAAATTGTAACACAATTCAGTAGAAAATAATTTATTTCTCCATGTTCTTCGAGTCCAGTACAAAACAAGACAAGTTTCAGTTGATAATATTTGACTATCAAATACTTAAGCCACTTCCCTTCAGGGTGTGACTTTACATTCATAGGTAAGAAAGCAACCCATGTTTAAACAAGTCTTCACTGTGGAGTCACCTGCAAACAGGTGAGTAGCAGCCACGAGACTTGAGCTGGTTCCAGGGAAACCGTAGTCACACGTTAATGCACCTACAGAGATGTACGTGTTGTTTCAGGGCAATCTGGTCAGTGCCGTTTGGCGTTAGGTTTCTTCTTGTTCACGTTCAACATGAATTTAGTTCAGCTCAGCAAGGCGAGGAGTGTTTGGTCAGCAGCACTCTTCAATTAGCAGCTCCCCTGAACTATACAGTTTCCTCTTGATGGCCCTGAATCTCGTACTCAGCCTCAGAGTGCTCCGGGGCCCAAGAGGCGTCCCAGACGTCTGCGGGGACCTGCTCCCCTTGAAGAGCTTCTGAACCCTTGGCCACAACCCACTGGACTCGGGCCTCAACACAAGAGTCACGTGGAACGTTGGGACCAGGGTGGCATCTACTGCCATTTGGTCCACAGTGCACAACGAGCCCTGGTCCCCCATGTCCATGCACAGGTCGATGAGCGCTCCTCTCAGGCCGCAGGGCTCGCACGCTGCCAGGTGAAGCAGCTCCTGGCTGATGCTGTGCAGGAGACAGTCAGGTAGGATAAGTTTGGAGCAGCCCAGGATGTGGGAGGCATTGTTGAGGCTTTGTGTGATGGTCCCACGGACATCTGTGGCCAGGGCCTCCTCCAGGGGGTCACAGAAGATGCTGCTGTCAGACTCTGAGAGTGACATGTCTGCTAAGGATCCTGAAACAAAAGAATACAGGTTAGGCTAACTTAAACTCAGTTTTATGGTGCTTAAAATAGCAGCAGGTCAGTAAAGGCTTCAATCTCCTTTGTCACAAGATTTTCTGGTGGTTTTTTGGGGGGTTTTTTTAATGTGCAAGTAAACATGTCAACAAAAGATCAAATAAAAAGCTTCTATGAAATTATTTGCATCAACACAAACAAAAGACAAAGAGGCCTCCTGCTCTAAACAAAAGCCAGTGACACTCACCAGACTCGCTCCTGCAGCCCTGCTCTGCTGTGACCTGCTGGTTGATCCCCTTCAGCTCGGACAGCCTCTGCAGCAGGCTGCCCCAGGACAGCCGCTGTGCGCCCCTGTCCTCCGCCGGAGAGGGAGGAAAGCTGCCGTCCAGGGACTGGTTACAGGAAGAAGACATCTTCACAGGAAAAAACTAAAGAAGGGACTGTTAGAAGAAAGAAAGAGAAGAAAGAAAGAGAAGAAAGAAAGGAAGAAAGAAAGGGTGCAATAGTGTCCTGCAGCAGTGGGGCCCCTGAGCTCCTAACACCAGACCAGCTGGAAAACACTGTAACAATGGAACAAAGCGTTAAATACCCAAGCCCCCAAGGCCCCGCCCATCGTTTTCGTTAACCAATGAGGTTAAAGCACACGTCTACCAGCTCTCAACCCTGCCTGGTAACATTTTGGTTTCTTTGATGAGCAAACCCCTCCCCTCTGACCCCACAGGCCTCTGACCCCCCGCCCCCCACTCAAACCAATTCACAAGTTTTTATTTGCAATGCTGAGAGTCACACTGACGGAGCCAATCCATGTGGGTTCAACTGTGTGACACAGCAAAACAGAAAAAGTACACACCCTCCAGATTTCCGCAGAAAGACATGATGACTGAGATGTGGAGAGATCACTCTTTTTCATGTCTCGTGTTTCCAGTCAATGATTGGAGCATTTCAAAAACTGTAAAGCCAAAGTGGGACAATTGTATTATTAACTATTATGGTTATACGTCAGAATGACCAGAGGCCGTTGGTGCTCGGGGTATTTGGACAACATGTGTTGTTTCACAGTGAGTCAGTGGTTTGATTAAACGTGTGTTTGTTTAGTGTGTGGAGGTGGTGTGATCGTCTACAAACACTTCAATCATTTACAAACACTCTTTTTTTCTTCTTCCTGTTCTTACGGAGACTGATTCCAAGAGGTTAAGAGAAGCAGCCGACTGGTCTGTTCCAACTTTGGGAGCAACTCCTGACCTCAAGCCTGAACACACACAGAGAGAGAGAGACCATCCCCCACCCCTGAAAAAACACCACTATCTCCACTGTCTTTTCATGTAGAGCTCAACACTCTCTGTGTTTGATGTGCATGGGAGTAGCCTGAATTCTCCCATTTAACATACAGGCAAAAGAAAATAATGAATTGGGTTGGCTACTGGTAAAGCTCAATTCTAGACTCATTGACTAAAACACATTTTTTCAATCACTTTTGTCAAGAAAACTATATCAAATACCTTTAATAATCTTATCTGCCATGAACATTCTTCACAAAACTTAATTAAACTGGTAAAACTGGTAAATACACATTGAAGAATGTGGCTAGGGGTTTACTTTACAGTATTTCTACTGATGGAATAACTGGACCTAAATGTTGTAATACAGTGCATATCCACGATGAGGCGCCAATGCATCACATTCAAATTAAAGACAATAAAGATGCAGCAACCAATGTGGCGTGTGTGTATTTAAAATGTTTATGCCTGAATTCACCTAATGTTTTTACTGAATGCACTGTTTTTCCATGCATTTATTTACGAGCATGTGCACTTTAATGGTCTCCACTCTGCTCTTTTCTACTGCTTCTTAATGTGTCACTGAACTCAGCATATGGATGTTAAATGGGTCATGTTTGCTAAGGTTCAATGTTTGGGGGTGAAATGTTATTTGTGACACGTCATGGGAAAAGAAGGGAGTAAAATGGAAAAGAGGGAATAAAACGTGACAGGCTCTGTGTTTTACTATTCAACAAAGGCCTGAGAGAGCTGTTAGGCCAACCAGCCTCAGGCCATCCCATAATTCAGGTGTAATAAATCTACTGCAAAATGAATTGTTAGGAATTGATTTTTTCTGTTTCTGGAACAATGTGCTTTAATCTGCAATGAATTAGAAACAAAAAAGCATTGCCCTCTCTATTTTTCATTTTCTAATTAACTATTTGTTCCACCAATGAGTGTGAGAATTATCCAGCGATTACGAGGCACTTACAGTGATATAATGCAACATGTTTACACCTGAGCGAGCACACATGCAACCTTCTTCAGGCACTTTTGAATGTGCCCATGTTGGTAATCAATTCAGCAAAAGGGTAAAAGGGTCCCTGGCTTGAGTTTGCCAGGCTGTAACTATGGCAACAGCATGCTGTTAAAAGAAGGGTCCATGTCACTGAGACATTTAAAATGTTTTAGCGCAACAGTCCTGGACGCTTTGTGTTTTATGTTTGTTCACCATAACTGGGGCAGCGTCGTTCCCTCTGCAAATGATCATTGTAGGAATAGAAGGTCATTCCATTTCCCTGCTAAATACCCCAGTGTGCATCCTCTCATCCCTCACAGCCCAGGGTTTAATATCTGAAAACCCTGCAGCTCCCAGGGCAGGGTTCTGTGTTTGGCTCCATGTGCGTGTGACACCTGAAGTTGGAGGTGGGACAGCATTTCTTTTAGGTTGTGATTTATTGCTGGAGGAGGCAGAAACAGACCTGCAATCTCAGGAGAAACTGTGATGTTTGGCGAGATTTGCTGAAGCACAATCTTCTGCACCAACACACTTTCTACACTTTCCACATCTATTTCTAATGGCCTGTACTCTGAATGTTAGGTTTAATGGAGCATCAGAAAGTTAAAGTCTTAACTAACCAGTGTTTCAAAGTGCCGCCCTGAATTGAGAAAGTTAAAATCAGTAACTTTGATTTTATGAGCTTAAACAGAAACAGCCGTTTGACCCATTTGCAGTTTTTTAAAACCTATGTTTCTCAAATTATCTAATACAAAGAAAATCTCAAGTATATTTTCCATTGTTCCAACAAAGCAAATTGCATTTAACTACCATGTGAGAAAATTATAGTTCAGTGTGTGAAAACTGTGGCGTACAAGCATCCTCTCAGACTGTATCTCAATTATTAAACTTAGCCTGGACAAAATCTATAAATCAGAACCAACTTAATCACACAATCAAAGAAGCTGGACACTGATTCAACATGAATATTAAATATAAGAATCAATATTTATATGTTAGATTTATATATATTTATAAGTATATTATATATAATATATTTGTAAAGCTTCTATCCACTCCACAGTTTTGTATATATTTCAGGAGAGTCATATAATTTAATTTGACATGCACATATAATTTATTCATAATTTAAATTTGGTTTAATGTGACTTTTCATTCGTTTTTTTCTAGTTTCCAGTTTGCATGGCTGCGCCTTCAAATGAGCCTGATTATTGATATTGATTGAACATCATCAGGTGTTGTCAGTTGATAGGTGCAGGAGTAAATGACAGCCGATGCATACGTGATGAGCTGCCACCATATGACATCAGGCAGCGGAAAGGATCCTGATCATTATTTATAGGAACTCTTTCCGTCCCTGACTGAAGCTATCTCTCATTTTAGAACCATGTGCATTATTAAGCAATGCTGCCGATGTTATGATTTTGTGTTTGGTTTGAATTAAACACGACTCGTTGCTGTTTTGACTTCTCTTTAAATCTTAAATCACACCAAATATAATCCGTATGGGGCTTAACTTAATAGAACCATACCAATATCAAATGATTACTTTTTCTGTCAACCATGAATGAATATCAGTGTCAATCCAACTTGTAAATATTGAGTCATTTCAGTTTGGACCTTAGACTGTATACAAAAAATGGACGACATCACTGCTCCCAAAATGTGAAGCCAAATCATCTTGGTCGCCCCCTGGTGGCTGGCTGCAGAATAGGTCATAAATCTGCCTCCTCCATGTTTATTCTTAACTTAATTTCTTTTCTGGTAAGTATGGTTTTAATTTGTTATTCGATGAAATGTGAATAAACATCATGATCAACAGCTGAAACTGACTCGTGATTGGTTGAGTGTGTGTATAGGCGGGACCATGTGGCTAATGATTCTAAATTCTTCTGTGGTGGCTGACGGTATTGTTTATGAGCATCATCTGATCTTTGCATGACATCCTGCATCCATCACAATTAGGTTTCTCTTCTTTCCTTCACAAAGCATCCGACCTGGGGAAACCACTCTCCCATGACTGACACTGTCTCACATGAGCCAAACCCCCGTTGGCTCAGTGACTCCAGGATTACTCACCCATTTTTTTCTTTCTGTAACTCACTCCGATAAATACAATGAACATTGTTTACCTGTCATGTTCTGCTCCTCCTCTCAGTTGTGTGACTGTCACATCTCACCTGTCAGTTGATTCATGCTGTGTCTGTGACTCCCAGAGTAGCACTGAATATCTGGTTTATGGGATCTGCTTAATTTTATTCACAATTTCTTTATTTGACAAGTTGCTCTTAGTCTGATTAATGTCCCCAGGAATGAAGCAGACTGATCCCTGCAGCTGCAGAGCACAGAGTTAGAATCTGTCAGTGGCTCTAAGGTAAAATATGTTCACACTCATGTCATCCTGTCTGGATTGAGAAACTCATATATTGATCATATCCCACATTCTACTTTAATGTGTGTTTTCAGTTTAAACAACTCCCCCTCTCTTTATCTTTCCTCGTAAACTTTATTGCATTCAGCCGAGAGGATCGATGACGCCCTGCCTCATGCCTGCCGTTATTAAGAGGGCCTCAAAGACACTCTTTTCAGGCTGAAAAAAAACATGGCATCAGTTAATCCAGCACTTCTATTACGAGCTGTCATTCAGTGTGTGTCCCTGGGGAAACTGGCTGAGGGCAGTGGGGGACGCAGCAGGCAGGGCAGATACAGTCAGGCACTGAAGCTGTGGCACAGTGAAAACGCCCCGATTCAGAAAACACAATTATCTCAGACCGACAGCATTTGTATCGTCTCATAATAAACAGAGATAACGAATCTGAAGCAGCACAGACATCACATCTCCAACATTACAAACTCTGCAATCCATGTTGAGTCTCTTATATTTTATTGTCAATGTGGCAGGAAGGAGAAGATTGAAGGTAAATTCTGTTTTATGCATGGATAGATTTACAATTATCAGAGAAACCATGTTCAGAATCGTGCAGTTAATCATTGTTTTACATGAATCTAGACTATATGGGTTTATACTAACACAATCCAATACAATGTGACTCAATAATGTTCGAAATTTGCGTGAAAGCTGGGGCAGTGCAAGTAAAATTAATTAATCATCATCATAAAAGGAAGAATTCCATTCGTGTGTATTTGGACTGAAAGTGTGGAATTCCCTGAACAATGACTTAAAATGTTGCTTGGGAGTTATTTAATTAATGAAACTCTGTTAAGACAATAAACATGAAACTGTAGATCTTACTGAGTAATATTTACATTATGATTATG